GGCGGCCATGACATTCTCAGGCTGTATTTATGCCCTGCAGCTGCCACACGGGTGCGCTCTAGGTCTGCGTTTGGTGGTTCGATCTGGCAGTCCTCCGTCCCCATGTGCTTGCAGGATGTGAGTCCTTGTCTCTGTGGGATATTTTGTGTGATTAGTTTTGGCTTTATGCAGCGTTAGGGGCTGTGAGACAGGGCCTGAGCGGGCCGCCCGTATGATTGGTGGATGTGAGTACGGCCGGCTGGGAAGGGGCCCGGAGCCCACGGTCCTGACAAAGCAATCCTGTTTACAGAGCCAGGCAGGCTGAAGCCCGCAGGGAGCTCCGTCCGCGAAGCGTCCAGCTTGGAAGCTTTCAAATGTGCAGACCTAATGAGACATCGCGGGAAGGAGCTGCCAAAGGCTGAGGGCCTCCCAGTGCACAGAATGCAGCGTTATTAATCAGTAATCAATCCACGTAAGATCACAACCAATGTGACAACATAACGTTTTACAGGCTGTGCTGTATGCAGAGCCTTCTTATTGAAATGCCCCCTTTTTATATAAACTCCAGTCTACAGGCTCAAGGCTCACTGCTGCCCTCTATGGATGGTTAGTCAAAAAAAAAAGTTTATAACAGTAGGAAGCAGTTGAGATGATTGTTTTAACAGTTGTGGGTGGATATTTAACTGATCCCATAACTGAAATCCTGTTGAGTTTCCCCATTGGTTCTGATGACTTGATTTTATTGAATACATAAACATCATGTGACTGTGATCATGTGACTAATCTGAATGAACAATGGCAATGAAATCGCCGAGTCTTTACACTGGCTGTGATTATACATAAATAAATGCCTCTTTATGTTTCCAGTAAGGTGGAACATCGACATAGCATTTGAGTCTAGATTTTACTTAGACTTGGGGGGAGCTGATTATAATGAACTATTTTAGGTACCACGCCCTGCCACATGACACAGGCTGTTAGAAGAAATGCCAGTTATTACTGGTATAGGGCATCAAAGTTTTCTTAAGGTTCTTCTGGGAGACTTATGAATAGTGACACTAAGCATCCTGACTGTGGATTGGTGGGTTTCATGCCATGTGATGTGTGTGGATGGGCGGGACCCCTGTCCTGCAGCTAGCGGCGGGGCTGTCTTGGAAACTGCCCGCGCTGTGTTTGCGATGTTCCCCCTGGCAGCTCGACGGGCACCCTTGCCCCGCTTCTGCCATTCCCGGTTGCTATGGGGACCCACAGACCAAGTAGTCCTGTTTCCATGGATATGAAGTAGCAGGAAGAGGGGAAAAAAACAGTGAAACAGGGGAAAGGAGCGTGCTTGAATTTATAATTTGTGTGTGTGAGAAAAAAGAGAAGAGTGTGGTGAGAATGAGACAATGAGTTCAGCTGACTGAGACGGAAAGGGGGGCTGAGAAAGGGTGGAGGGGAGCTAGAGAAAGAAATGATGAAACGGCAAGGAAGACAGGGACAGCAAAGAGCTTTCAAGATGGGAGGTAGCTGGAATGATAGGGGGGGGGGGGTCACATGGGGCACTGGGGGGCAGGGTGTTATTTACATTAACCGGAGGGGACCAGAATGTGACACGCTAAGTTAATTAAGCCGTTTATGAGATGGTTTGCACACTCAAGAAACAGCCAGGGAAACAGCAGCTTAGCCAAGGAGCTTATGCTGAGTGTACCATGGCCGTCCTGCAAGATGGGGGGGGGGGCTCATTTAGACAAGCAGCCCCCTGGTCAACAACTTTTACCGTCACCACATACTCCCCCCTGGTCAACATTGGTGCCCCCCGTTAAAACCCTGGGCCCCTTTCAGGGGGTTTGAGAAAACGCACAAGCCATGACAGCAGCGGACAGTGTTAAGAAGCCGTCACTGCAGGGTTCCTGTTTTTGTCCTTCCTTTGCGTATTTGACCAAAGGATCATCTTCTGAGCACAGGTAGTGCGGCAGTGTGTGGAGTTGGCCACTAGGGGGAAGTGTGGTACTTTCTCACAGTGATTGTGATAATGACTCTTTTATCTTGGACATTTATCTACCTACAGAATAACTTTTATTTTTTTTACCCCTGATTCCCTTATTTATTTTATTTTTCATACTTGATGATGAGATGAGTTGGAATGAGTTGTCCCTTTAAATAACTTCCTTGTGAATATTCCAAAATAAAGGCCGTCAAAGTAAATTAGTGTTTTATTTGGGTTTTGCTCTGAAGATGGCCTAATATATTTATTAAAGCATTCTGTTCGCATAATGGAGGAGTGAGTAAGGGTATAAGAAATGTACCTTTTCAGGTTTTTTCTGGTTTTAACCCTTCATTTTGGAGTCTGAGATCAGCTCTGAGCAGCAGGCGTGAGCTTCCCTGTCTGTCTGCCTGCCCTGTGCCTGTTTCCCACCACAAATCACCCGCTGCTGAGGAGGAGGACGACGTGCTGTTAGGGGGAGTGATGTCACCCTTCCCGCTAACAGCCAGTCCCACAGCAGCCCCATAGAGCTGATGGAACTGGTGCGGGGGGCCATAGAGGGATCCCGGTAGATTCCCCGTTTCCCACCACAGAATGGAGTCAATTTATCCCGCCACTAGAGGGCTCCAGTCACCGGCAGGAAGTGACCGAGTTTACCTTCAAACTGTGAACTTGGCTGTATGGGAACAATAGTCTGAAAAAGTACCTTGTTAAAACAAGTTAGATATGGAGCACATTATACATGAAATTCTGTGAATATCTTTAAGAATGAGTGGAATATAAATCCTCAAAGATGTCAGTTGTGAGGCTTGTCCTGCTGAAATGTGTCTGTTAGCTAATGACTCATCTTTTGCCTTAGCAGTGCTTTTATGTAAAGTAACTTATGCAGAATTTATGCATAAATACCATCCTTAAGATTACAGCAGACCCCTGGCCAAAAATCCAAACCTTTACTCATTAGGGGTGCAGTGCCACAGTGACACTGTTAGGTAGAGAGAAAGAAATGGCCAGCAAGAGGAGAGCCCCAGCACCTCCTGGGGCTGCTCCTGAGTGAGAGGGGATCCGCAGCTCCTCCTAGGGCTGCTCCTGAAGGAGAGGGGAGCCGCAGCACCTCCTGGGGCTGCTCCTGAGCAATAGGGGAGTCGCAGTGCTGGCTGGGGGTGCTCCTGTTCCACTTAGCAGTTGACTTTAATTATTCACTCTGAGCTGAAGAAGAAACTGGAGCCTCATTGGCTGCCTCTGCCCATGGGCTGAATGTGGGTTTTCCCGATAGCAGGCATTTTAATCGAGCACCGCATAACGTTAAGATTCCAGATACGGTCAATTAGCCTCAGAGCTATCCATACTCGAACATGTGTGGTATTTTTCCGTCAATAGTGCTTTGCATATAAATACACAAATATGAGTGGCTGGCCAGCTATGAGTGACGACTTTGAGCACTACGATGGCTTTCTAACTGTTACTTGTAAGCATTGCACTTGTTGCACGTTGCCAGTAAAACGTCTTTAAATGACACTAGACAGTATTATCAAATCATTACAGATATTATCAGAACCTTTTACTGCATTAATGTTACTGAGGTAAAGACTTTTATTGAGAGCAGGTATGGGATGTTTAACAGGAGCAATTTAGATTAAGTACAATGACAGCCTTCCTCTGGATTGCTTAACCACAATCCCTTAGAAAAGCGAACATCAGCACTGGGTGACAGTAATTCCTCACTTGTTTTTGTCTGCCCGCCGCCCCCTCATACTCCCCATCAATGATGAAGTGTCACTGACTACACCACAATCAATTGACCAGTCAAATTTTATGTGGTGCAGCACATTTTTACCAGTATTTTAACACAATAGCACTTTACAGAGAGTGATGTTTTTCCTGATTAAAAGAAATCCCAAAATCTCAATACAGGCTAAAGTGGACAACGATTCCATCTCCTCGTTCAAATTAATCGATTACGTAATGCTTCTCGGAAGTCATATCTCTGGAACTACAAACGGTAAATGCAATAGTACACTCAGGGGTGTAGTTACAGATGAATGAATGAAGTACTTGGAGTCTTTACTGGGGGGGGGGGGGGGGGGGGGTGTCAAACGTATATGTAATATTAAAAGCGATTGATGACTTAAGCCAACAAATACACATTTATTTGGGGGTGGGGGGAGGCTACAAAACATTTTAGGGGGGCTACAGCCCCCTAAAATAAGCCTAACGACCCCTGAGTACACTCTTTGAGTGTTATTCTATTATTGTGTGTATTATTGCGTTTATTTGAGCTACTGGATGCCTAAATTTCCTTCGGGATCAATAAAGTATCTATCTATCTAGTACAAGTCTTTCGGCTGCAGTGGACAGCAGGTGGAGATGGGCGGTCGCGGTCACGTGACCCCGTATCTGATTACGCCTCTGCACAGATGGAGACCGTAACCCGACGTGTCCACGGTCCACCTACACTGAGGGCGCGTGTTACGACTTCAGCCTCCAACAT